AAAAAAAAAGTCAATTACATTTGGATTGATTTGGTTTTAACTTAAAGAAGTTAATCAGAAACCAAATCAACCTGACATTGTATACATAATCTTTTTAATTTATTTTATACATAAATTATTTACTTTGATAGTATAATTTATAAATATTTCTTACACTTTTCATACTTCCTTCATTCATTTTTACTTGTCAAATTTTGATTTGACACACCTATTAAGAAAATAATGATTGCTAGAGTGAGTTTATCATTTTACCCCTATTAATTGATAAGGTCTCAAAAATATTTACTCACTATATTTTTCAAAGATATAACTTAATATTAATAAATTGAGGGTATATTAGACAGAAAAATATCGTCCTTCCTTGAGTTGTCAAAAACAACAAGTAAAAGCATATTAAATTAGAAAATATTTGACAAGTAAATAGAGACGAATGAGTAAATTTTATCTTTCAACATATTATTTCAAGTTTGACTTAGACATTAAGTCATTAACTTAAGATTTAAATACTAAAGTTTTTAATATTTAATATCTTCCGTTATGTGACAATCCCACTTCATATGCATTACAAATTATCTAACGTTGTCAATTTGTAATGACATATTTAAGATTGGTCAACTCAATGTGACTCTATTTGTCATAGTAGATAAAATTCATTATATATATGTTGAGAATATAATTAACTAATAAAAATATGATCTCTTCAACAGCTTAAGCTTTTAGATGCAATTGTCACACAATTCAATATGTTATTAGAGCAAAAAAAAATTCACGTGTTTGACACATGAAAAAACTCAGGCTTACACGTGAGGGGGCCGTGTTGAGAATATAATTAACTAATAAAAGTATGATCTCTCTAAACAACTTAAACTTTTAAATGAGATGGTCACACACTACACTACATTTGCTACTAAGCTATGAACTCTTTGAACAATAAAATATACACATATATTAGCGAGAAGGCGAAGTTATCATAGTTTTGAGATATCACTAAATTTAAAATAAAGATGATTATATAGTCAAAAGAAATCAAGAAATAGTATCGCAAATCCTTTCACTTTTTTCTTGCATTTATTTGTGAATCGATATTACATTTTACTTGTCATCACCACCCATACATTTTTGTATATTGTTTATCAGGTTGTGGTAATTCCTGAGAGTTGAATAAAAGCCATCCTCTTGTATCTTCCAATAGCATCCATAGATAAAAGTAAATGAATAACTCTTACTTTCCAAACCACATTTATCAGCTATTTTATCATTGAAAATATCATGACTCGTATCTTTCGAGTCCCAATAAAAATGACAAAAGTATAGCGTTCCGCCCAAAAAATGTTCATTAAAATGAAATTTGAACTCTTCATTTGTACGGAGCACTATATCACCAAGATCATCATCTGCAGATTTACAACGAAATTTTAGAGGATTAGAATTTATAGGGAGGCTGCTGTTGATATGAACTTCAAATCTAGGCGTCCACCAATGAGATTCGAGTTTTGTAGTCAACGAAGAACTCTTTATAGTAACAAGATTAAGTAAAAAGATGAATGAGAAGAAAAAAAAATTGTGCTTGAAAGAATTCATATTCGATTTTTGAAATGATTTTATTTCTTCTTGACAATTATGCTATTTTTTATATATAACCCAGAGAAAGAAAGGTGAAAAGTTGACCACGTTCATTTTTGTTGAATTTTGGTAAGAATACATAAATTTTATTTTATCTACTACATTTACTGCGCGTTTGACTATGGCTGTTTATCTGATAATGTGTAACGGTTTGACTTATCGAATATCGATTTTTAAAAATACTAATTCTCTAGCTAAGCAATGAAATAGTTGATTTGATATCGGATTGGTTATTATTGGACGGTTAACGGACAGTGTATTAGCTCAATTATTTCATACTTTTTTTTCACTTTCACTCATCAACATAATTATCTCCCATCAAACAAAACAATTTTTCTAACTTTACTTAAGCTTGTAATTTTGTAGTTGTAATCACAATAAGAAATACAAGAAAACTTAAATTTTGAGGCTGCATAAACATAAACATTTATTTTACATCACATGTACATAACTTAATTCAAGACTAAAGTATACTTCGAATGTGTATTATATTAAAAAGGGATAAGGGTATGAAAAATACCCCAACTTTGGTCAGATTTGCTGTTGCGATACTAAACTTTCATAAGGACCTATTACCTCCCTAGACTATTTAATACCGTATTTTTTACCCCCTGAACTATTTAATAGTGTATTTTAAAGGTATATATGTGTCCACGTGGACACATTACTATTTATAATTTTGCATTATTTTTTATGTCCACGTGGGCAAATATATATGTTTAAAATACGGTATTAAATAATCTAGGGAGGTAATAGGTCCTCATGAAAGTTTAGTATCACAATAGCAAAATCCGACCAAAAGTTGGGGTATTTTTCAGACCCTTATCCCTATTAAAAAAATAATATGAAGATTTGTACATTATGATCTAGACAAGCCAGCTAGTAGACCAATAAGAAATCAAACTCACAAATATGTATCAAGTCATATCACTACCAAAAAATTGCCTTTTAGCCACGGTTGCGAAAATTGTGGCAAAATTAGCTAAAAAATAAAAAATTCTCTACATAGTACGAACTGTGGCTAAACATTTCTGGCTAAAATAGGCGGGTAAAATTTCATTCCCTCCCTTTATTTTGTCATTTGCCTCTTTTTCTATTATTTCCCTCTACTCACTCTCTTTTCTCTCACTTCACCCAAAACCAACCCCCAAAATCTAAATCGATTTCTGCCCAAAATTCAACTCTCTTCTTCAAAGTCGATTTCTGTCAAAAGCCGCTTCAAATAGTTGTGTAATGTGGTAAGTTTGCTTCGTTCAAGTAACAAATCTTTGGAATCTAGTGTATTTAAACTCAAAATTGAATGTAGGGTTTTGGATAAAGTTTTTGTTTATTGAAGTTATGAGCTTTTGAAATCTGCAATTTGATATTTTTTTATTGGGTTTTCTTGTTGTAAAGAATAGAAATTTTAGTGGTAGGTTATACATCCTACTTTATTTATGTTGGAAAAATCATGCTCACACCTCTGGAAAGATTGATGGATATATTTTCACCACAAATTTTGTAGATAAGATTATACATTGGAGGAATTATTACCATAAATCGATAACCTATATACTAATATATAAATCTTGAGAGGTGTGAAATTTTGCTGGATTAGATCTCCTTTTTTTTGTTCTATGCATTTCAAACCATGTTCTAGTTATTGTTTGTTTCTGTATAAGGAACATGAATTTAAGTCCAACATTTGAAAAATTAAAGAGCAGTGCCTATCTGGGATCAAATACGTTACTACTTGTTTTAAGTTTTATTGGGTTTTCTAGTTGTAAGAGCACAATCATTGTTAGCAAGCCTACGAGGACGACAAGCTGACAACAATAGCACAACTTCCTTAAATTTTGATCAACTAGATGACCAAGTTGTGAATGAGAATTTCACAACTCCTACTCTCGGTAATGACAATTTAATTTCTTCTTCAAGTTTTGTTGGAGCTAGCTCACAAGTGAAAAATGAGTCGTTACTTGTCCACATTAGAGGTTAGAAGTAAGTTCATATTAGAGTTGATTGTTGCTTTTTATGCTTTATTATTAGTTTGTTGTTATCATTACTTTTCATTTGTGTTAATGGCTTGTTAAAATGATAGATACTTCAATCGGAGAAGTTACTACTTAAAAGATGCAATCAGATCGAGTTTGGAACTTTGAAAAAAATTAAAAAATTATGGTGGAACTTGGTGATGAAAAAGGAAGTGACAATGGTTCAAATTTGCTTGTGAGATTTCTTGGCAAACTTTCTCAAATGTTTGTATTTTGTCCCATATTAGTTGAGTGATGGGATAAGATACCACATGAAAAAACAAAACGACAATGGCAACTTATTGAGGTAACTAGCTAACTTTATTGCCATTCAAATAATGTTATCTTTTTTCAATAGGTACTGATTTATGAATACAAACATATTTGAATCTCCTAGTTTTCTAGCCGACTGAGGTCTCAAATTGGCTCTCAAATATACTTTTGAAAGATGATTTTGATCAAGACTTCATCTATTCTTCTTGGTTTTGGAATATCCTCAGTTAGACATCTGCCACAAGTGTTAAATTATCCTTGTAAGTGTCATTCTGTAAATAGCATCCCATGAAACATTTCCTTTGCATTAGTTTTCAGCCCATCGCAATTCACCCTGCTACTCCATTGGACTCCTGCTACATAACAACTTTACTTTAGGAAAGTATGGAAAGGAAGAAATATGAAACTTTATAACTCCTAAGTTCTGTACATACACAATATAACTCATTTTGTACATTTGAATATGCCTTCAACTATAAATACAATAAGAATTAGAAGTTATAACTTATAAGCTAAATTTGTAGAGACAAAAATGGCTGAAAATTACTAGTTACTTATAAGAAACCTATGTGATGTCAATGAATTCTTCAAATATGTTGGTAAGTTCTTGTTTTGGCTTTGCAATGTCTGTTTTTGCTCTCTCCCTTCAACATCATTAGAGCTTAAACTCTTTTCTCGCTCCAATATCTTCCTTTTAAATTTTATATTGCATCCTTTGTGGGGAAGTAGATACTCCTTTTAAGATGCCAATAATTATGAAATAGGATATAGTTGTATGGTTGTTGAGAAATCTAAATGAATGTGTTATAAAGACCATTGTGAGTTTGAAAATTTAAGACAAATTTTTGTTTGCTTTCATTAAGTAATATTGTTTGTGTTGGCTGTGTTAAAGCGATTTATATAGCTTTAAGAACTTGTGTCCTACATCTTGTGAAATTGTGCCCTTCTATTACATGTAATTAAATTTATGTTTGAGAATTACAGAAATAAAGTGCACAAAATGTAAAAAATAGAAAGAAACTTAAAGTTTTGCATGTCGGTGGTAGCAAAAGCAATGAAAGGAGAAGTCATCAAATGGTATATTTCTTAACCTTGAATTCTATTTGGAAATCATGTTATTGTATCAAGTGAAATGTGTTTCATGTTTATTTTTATTTATATATACTTGATTAATGACAGGAGCAAAAATTGGGAAGACCTGTGTGTCGAAGTGAGGTTATTTTGTCAACTTTACTGAAGAAGGATGGTAACTATGTGAATGAAGAAGGAAAGATTTTAGCTGTATGATTTATATACCTGTCCATTTTCAAATTTCAGTTATGGTGTTGATTTATTCTTGTCTTTTTTCTTTGGTCCATAGCCTAGCATAAGACTCAACTAGCTATCAAAGAATAAAACAAAAAATAACTAATGTAGGTGAGAAGTGAGCTTATTGCTCTAGCAGCTGCCTTTGTGCTACAAATGTGTCTTCCTAGGATGCTCTTCATCTTTCCTCGTCAAATAACTTTGAAATTGTGATCATTTGTTTTGTGTTCTCTCATTACACATTAGAAAGTGGTTTTCGTTTAAGTTTTAGTCAAAATAGTTGATGTCTTGTTGTAATACTTTTGTTAATATTTTTTTGTATAGATTCTGTTAACTTCTGTTAGTAGTAGTGCTTTGGGGTGTGTTCTATTTGCTTTTAGTATTGTGAAAATATCCTTTCTTGTAGGATAAGATATCGGAGCATCTACCTAAAGATCAGGAACTTGCTGCCAGTTCAGGTGTTCCTATGAAGATACTAGCTCATCTTAATGATGCCGTTGGAAAAGTGTATGGAGTTCAACATTCTGGTCGTGTGCGTGGTTTAGGTGGTAATGTTTTCCCTTCAAATGCTACTCGAGGGAACTAAGAACCGGGTTGTGCAAAATGAGAATCAGTTGACAACTCTTCATTGGTTTTTACAAGCTAAGTTTGGTAGTGAGTTGCCTACTTTCAACTAATCTTCTTAGCCTTTAGTATATTTTAAAACAAACTTATATATGGTATTTCTTTTAACTTTTAGTATTTTCATTACTCTAGTATTTGTGGTATTTTGTATGAATATTCAAGGTTTGAAGCTCTTATCTTTTGCGACTATATGTAGAACAATGTTGGAACTTTGATCATTATTATAATAGCTAGTTTTCTGTGTATACTGGATCAGTGAATCATTTGGAAATCTATTTTATTTTATCAAGTGATAATTATGTGATCACTGTGAATGCCTATCAATTAGTGTATTGATATTGGGATATATAGCAGGGAATTTATTACACACTTTTGCCACGGTTGAACCGTAGCTAGGTCATATTTTGTATGAAAGTTATGAGCAAATTACCAACGCCTAAACTAGCCACGGCTAATATATGGGTAAGTCATGATTTGTTGTAGGCAAATTTACCCATGGGTAGACCGTGGCTAAACACAATCTAAAACCGTGGTTAAACACAATCTAAACCGTGGCAAATTTCATGGCGACGCCCCCTGTTGGGCACGCAACCGACCGTGGCTAAGTGGCCGTGGGCAATATGTGATAGCCACAGTTTGGTGACCTTTTAGCCACGGTTTCACGCGTGGCTAAAAGGCGAATTTTTTGTAGTGTATAAGGCTTTAAGGTTAGTAATATGTATTTTATATACCAAGATTTTAAAATGCAAGAAGATAATTCTTAATGGATTAACGATTTATCTAATAAGGAATTTGAGTAATTTGTCCCCACACCAATAAATCGTTAAGTATAAAATTTAATTCATTCACCAACCGTTAATCCAATAATCTAATATCAATAAGCCAATTTAGCGATTGACTTATCATTTACGGTTCAATTTTGAACAACCCTAGGTTTGACCATAGGATTTGAGACTTAATTTCAAGTTTTTGATTTGAAATTGATATTTGTTGCGCAAAATTTCAACTTCAATTTCAAATACTAAATTCTCCAAAAAGTAGAATTTCTAATCTCAAATTATGATTTCTAATTTTTTTCAAAAAATATAAAACTTGACTCATAAGTTTATATTTTGTTAAAAGGATCCGATTTGTTATATATTTTAAATTTTGCAAAAATAAAATAAAATGATGCTTGACATGAAATTACTCTGGTTTGGTCATAAATTATGAAATTGAAACTTGAAAATTTGAATTTGTGTTTGGACATTCATTTTGCAAGGAAAAAATTAAATTTTCTAATTGGAAGTGTCACGACTCAGACCGTCGTGAGTGGCACCCACACAAACCCTCCGGTGGGAGAACCATTACTACAGCCCAAGCAAATAAATTTTATGAAAACTAAGACATTTAAAGATACGAAAGCAGGTTTAAATGACTATAAAAAATGGAGTCCCCATAAAACTCCAAGGTTTTAACAAACAACTAACCAAACTAATGCGGAAGAACAACCCCTAGAACCTGAAAAGTCAATGTACCAAAAACTCTACTAACGACAAGTCTAAGAACAAGGGGTACAACCCCGAAACTAAACAACACCTTACACAAATAGTCAGAGTCCGAAAAGAGTGGACTTAAACAAGAAAGATCCATGGCAGCTTGAAAGAACTGGCTCACCCTTGAATCTGGTCACGCTAGCTGAGGTCTATCAATAGCCGTCTGAAGATGCCATGTACTCAACAAAGAACAAGCAAGTGCAGTATCAGAACACAACCACAATGTACTGGTAGAATCACACGGCTATCCCATTAAGTGTAACATACATTAGTCAATATAACAATATAATCACATGCACATATCAAACATATACAATATCATCAACATATACGAACAATGAACAACTTCACGATTCTCACATATCACAGTTATATCAATTTAGAGCAACATACCGTCTTCCAATATCAATCATCATTAGATATGAACGAACTCATCACAAGTAGATACACAACACAATTCAATGGTCCTCTCACAGAACCCAATTCAATGGTCCTCTCACGAAACCCAATTCAATGGTCCTCTCATAGAACCCAAACCCAAACAGTTAGTATACCGGTTCGTGGTACTCGATCCAAGTTAGTATGCCGGAACTTGGCAGCCGATCCCCATGTTTATGTCGGAACATGGCAATTGATTCCATATTTATGTCGAAACGTGGCAACCGATCCCATGTTTATGTCAAAACGTGGTAATCGATCCATTCAACAAACCACAATCACAATATATTCTCACAATCATACAACAAGAGGTGATTCATGGCATACAATTATTCAATTATCCTCATTTACGATTAGGGTGATCAATAATGCAACATTTGCATACATACATGCATTATAATGAAGCAAGAACAAACATACATCACATAATCATAGAATCACAACCATTACCTACCTCGAATCCAAGCTTGAATCCCCTAAGGCAATTGAATCTTCCCTTTCCGGATTTTTTCTCTTGTTCGTGGTCTAAAAACATACAATTAACGCAAGGATCAATAGGCCTAATTACCCGGATTATAATCAATTTTATCAACCCTAGGCCAACCCAAGATCTCAATACCCAAATTAGGGCTTTTTCCACCATTAACTTCAGATCAAAACCTTTCCACAATGATAATTACTCAAGAAACTACGTTCTACGGATCGAAAAACGGATTCGGGGAGTTAAAACCTTACCTTTAGCCTCAAGAATGGTGAAAAACGATCAAGAACTCGTCTAGGGTCGTTCCTTAGCTCTCAAAGACGAAAAGTGCAGAATAAAACATTTTTCGGGTTTTATTTTTGACTTAAGTCGCGTCTGTCCCGCTACAGCGGGACCTATCCCGCTATAACGGCACCAATCCCGCTCTGGTGGCCTACACAGAGACAGAATGCTAAATAAAGAATTCCAAAGCCTCATTTCACAACACACCTTCCACCAACGACACTCAGAAAATACCGTTTACGCAAAGATTAATTCCAGAAGTTCTACTCGCCCGAATTCAATTCCGTAAGGTCATACGGTTTTTTTAACGTCTTAGCTATCTACTCATGCAATCGAGTTCCTTATTAAATCACCCAATCATTACCAGATTTCCCTAAACTCACATGACTCTGATTTCATCCAAATCTGGACTAGGCTAGGAAATCCCAAGTTACTACCAAAAAAAAGTTTTCTGACCCAATTCTTTCCCCATTGGCTTTTCCCTAAAGACGGAATTAGGTCATTACATGAAGTATCCCAAAAACTAGTCTAAGCCTATTTTTGAGATCTTGAAATTTTCAAATTTCAAATTTCATGGCCAAACAGACATTTGAAGACAATTTTTTCAAAAAACCACTCCCAAAATTTATGCCCAAACTTTAGTAAAGAGATTGTTTGTATCATGTGTAAGAATTATATTAATGAATGGGTAGTTACTCTTATTGTTGGCTAGTGAATCTTTGTAAAATTATGTGTATTTGAAAATTTATAATCGTATATAAATTGTAATTATAAATATTTTATTTTTAAAAGAAACATGAAGACAAATTTATTAATATGGTACATTCGAATCAAAATATTTTGATACCTTACGTATAATTATAATTTGCTCATTTGATAAATTGTACCATAAGAGTTGAGAGAAGTTGTGAATTTGTGATAACTTTCACAACATGAAAAATAGATTCTTTGTGGGTATTTTTTTTTGGACAAAAGTACTCATTTCCCCCTTGAACTTGAATCTTTTTATTCGGTGTACACCTAAGCTAAATTTCATTTTAATTACCTCCCCGAACTTGTTTATTCCTCCGTCACGTACACATTTATTGTCCACCTAGCGTAGAAAGTGACAACACACTCTACTAGGCGCGTGAGGAAGTGATTTTTTGCCACATCATAAAGCTACAACAGTAAAAAAACGTAAAATCTCCATTTTTCTTTAATATTTGGCATATTTTAAAGATTTTTCTCTCTATTCTTTGACTATTTATTCTCCCTAATCTCTTCTCCCTTTTCAAATTTCAGAATTTTTCTCTCTTTTTTGTTTTAGTTGCTATTGCTAAATTCATGAATTATAATAGGAGACTTATTTGCTTATGTGGGACTCCTCCAATTCTGAAAATTTCATGGACAAATGACAATCCCGGACGTAGATTTCTCGGCTGTAGACACTATGGGGTATGTATTGTTTCATATTTTTTTACTTTTTATTTGCCAAATTCGTATTATGTAAATTTTTTTAACTTTAATTTTATGAAATGTAGTCCGCATTTCGAAATCCTTGTAAGTTTTTCGATTGGTATGATCCAGAATTTCCTAGCCAGGCGAATACTGTGATTTTGGGTCTGTTGAAGAAGA